CTTGTTTAATTATGCTAATCCAGCTACTAAAAAGTGTTATAAATATCACCATCGTCATTTTTATGCCAGGATTTTATAAAACTTTAACCTTAGCTAGTGTCTCCGATTTTCTCGCCCCACCTTATCTAGTTCCTAAGTTTCTCTGGCCTGTATGGAAGTCTGTCTTCCCTAAACCTCTGCTCCATGTTTATTGTGTCAGTCTCCTGCTCCCAAAGTTACTAATACTCCCTACCAGCTCCCACAGTGTCCAAGGTCATCTACCTGGCCTTTGGAGCTCATACATTGGTCCTTGTGTCTAAGTTGGTTTCTTTTGTTTTGTTTTGTTTTTCTGTCTGTTCTGCGTCCCAGAATACAGCTGCTGGTCTAGCTATGCAAGCCACTGCGTCTTGCAGAAAAGCTTGCTGTAGCCTCAATGCATGCCTGGTATATGGAAAAGACTCCATAAGTGATAGCTATGTTTACAGAATCTTCTTCAAGTCATTCCCGTCTTTTCTTTTCCTTCTTTTAATTTTCATTACCATAATAATCAGCCTTGCACCCCTTGGGATATAATTTTTCTAATTGGTTTACTATTTTAGCTACTTCATTTTTCCAAACACACTAACTTCCCAGGGACCAGAGACCATGCCTTCCATTTTCTCTGTGTTTTAAAAAATGCCTGGCATAGAAATAGTTGTTCTATAAACAAATGTTTACGGTTTTGTTGATTGAGTTTATTATAACATATTTGTTGTGACTTTATCTCCTCCAGTTATGTGTATTTTTATAGGCCCTTATATATACTACACAGCTTCATAAAAATGATATAAAATCGTAAGCTCACGTTTAAAGGCAACTCCCATCTTCCCAAGTTTTGTGTTTGTTTCTGTTTTTTATTTTTGCTTATAAGGAAGATAATGGTCAGAGATATAAAATGATCTGTCAAATGCAAAGTTATAAATCTACCTGGCAGCCCTACCAAACCAAGTAAAACTGTTAATGATAAGTAAAATGAAGAAATAGTTCTTTTTTTTTAAACATGCTAGTATAGTCTGTTAAGACAGGTGTATGTATTTATCTAATGTCTATAGAGAAAATGTAATACTACCATTTACTCTTTATTATAAGGAAAAAAAAATCTTGCTTCCCAGAGTTAGAAATACTTTAGCAGAAATGAATTCATTTAATTTCATAGACTCCCTGGGAAGAAATTTGGAGAACATATTAACTCTATACTGTGCATCAAGACATCATCCAAAAAGCTGAAGTGAAAGGGCTCAAGACTGGTCACCAAAATTGGTGGTTAAGACTCTAATCTCCTCATGCGAAAGCCACATCTGTCCATGGGACAACATAATGGGTTTATAAATATGGTCGGGTATAAAATCATTTTTAGATTAAAAAAAATCACATCAACATCTTCCAAAATAGTTCTCTACTGAAACTATTCAGAAGAATTGATATACAAGAACAAGGGGAAAAGCAAAAAGGGAAATCTGGACATTATTTCAAATTGTCTTGTTTCTTTGAATCATGCGGTCACACAGAGCATCAGATGGTGAAAGATGGAATGATTCTTCTCCTGTCTTTATGTGATCTGGAATAGTAACTCTTTTTTCCCCAGGATAAATTTAAATTACTATGGAGAGAAGAACAATATAAAAGATGAGAACCACTGCTGAAATTCCCATACAATCCCCAGGGGGATGTCCCAAATAACCAGCAAACCTCTCCTCAGAGAAGTGTTTAACTGTTACATGGTTAATCCATTTGGAACACCTTGTTCTAAGTGGAGAGACAAAAGAGATCGGCTGTACAGTCTTCTGCTTCAACTCCCAAGAAGACAACAGCGGATTAGTGACCAGAGAGACTTGGAAACTTCCATGCTTGTGATGTTTCTGAGTCATGGGATAAAGTTGATTTTGAACGATGTGGCTCATGCTTCAGCAAAATGTTTTGCTTTTGCAGATGGACCATATGGAAACTATGAACTGGCTTTGTAACAGGACCATGATGAGCCAATGCAGCATTTTTTAAATGTTTTCTGTCTCTATTCATGTGGTCCAATGAACAGTATACCATCAAAAGACATGGTCTATTACGTGCCTTTGTTTCAATTCTTAGTGATTTTTTTTTAATGTTAGATGTTTTTAATACAAGGATTAAAAAAAAAACAAAAACACTTTCATTCAATAAAAAAAAGCCTGAAATATTCTGGATGTTAAATATATTCTAATTCTTCCCTCAAGGTACTGGCCTTCTTTGATGCTTCAATAAAGACATGGTCCAAAAGGGGTAAAACAGTTATCAAAATCATAGGTGTCCAAGATTTTCTTTCCAATAAGATCCAGTAATAAGGTTTTTAACACTTTTCTGAGAGATTATAATTACCAAAAAAACCCAAAAAACAAAAAACACAAAAAACCCACCAACCCAACCTGATAAAATTATGATGCCAGTTTGCTGAGAAGTGGAAGACAAGCATAACCCACTAGACAATTAGCTTGAGAGCTACAAAGTGTTCATTCATGGTTTGCTGCTTTAATGTTTATTAGATGAATAACCAAGATGTCACTTCAAGATTAAAAATATAGCAAGTATTTTTTTCTGGATTGGGCTTAAAATTTAATGAAAAACTGCAGGGAGAAAAAAATTACGGCTGTTGGCACAATACCAAAATGGAACAAATGACTAGCACTTACGTGATTGCGTGTTTTGTGTAGAACGTGGGAGGGCTGCAGAATATAGCTGAAATTAATATGTGGAAAATCACTGCACTGGTTCCTTAGAGGTATTCAGAAACTATCATATGCACTCACGCAGCTTGTAAATCTTTGCAAAGGCTATGATGAAAAATGATTGTGTTTCATTACTATAATTAAAATATAGTGGTCTCAGATGCTTTTCTCAAGAAGTAATCGCATGAGACATAGATAATCTGGGTGCCGTTGTTTAAAAAGGAGGAGAATTTACAGACCTATAATTTCATTTTTTTTCCCGAAGAGATTTATTAAAACATAATTAGGTGGCTTGCCCAAGATTAGGACAGAATAACAAAATTTCCCCCATGTGATAAATGAGCCTCCTAATGCATAGATTATAATTCTCAGCTTTTGTTTGTTTCTATTTTGATCAGAGTAAACCTTGGAAGAGATTATGAAATTTCTTCATCCCAGTTCAGTATGATAAATATGGGGGGTGCCGTGTTTGTATTGTGTTCACGGCAAGTTGGCAGAACCAAAGACCAAAACTGACCAACTTCTATTCTTTACTACATATCTATATACCTGTGACCAAAAAGTGAATCTCTAGGATTACTGTTAAACCAATAAACACTCATTGTCACAGGAAGTAATCTGGACCCAGAAGAAATAATTTTCTACATGCTCTTTCATTTTCATCTTGCTTTGAAATTTTGAAAAGGCCCTTTACCTGTGAGTTTTATCTTGGTTTAAGGCTATAACCTATCTCTATGAAAGAGATGTTTAGTAACAGATTAGATGTCTATTCTTGTGACTCTTAGTCTTGTTAAGTTGCCTGTCTTCATTGATAGAATCAGCTACCCAACTACCAAAACATGTCTTCTCTTAGAACTGCTTCTGCTCTTTTATAAAAAGAGCTTAAAAAAAATGCTTTTGAGGGCAAAAAAGTGGTTCCAGGAGGTACTTGTTCATGTGTACTTGGTACCTGAGGTCCCACAAGACTACCTTACAGACAGCCTTTGTCTAGAACAGCACAGGGTGTGGTAAAACATTCCCTCCAAAATGGTACTTTTTGTTTGATGTTATGATTTTAAAACATATTTCTTTAATGATGTCCTTTGTAACTTATTAAAAAAAAAAGGTTTTCTTAGAATTGGCACATAAATATTTGTATACCATTTATATGATGTAAAGGGGAAATGGCCTTCTTATATCTTGTGCTCCCCCCCCCATTTTGCTATTTGCTCTATTAGCCCAGTTCTGTGTCTGACAAACTTGCTCTTCCTTGTCCCCAAGTAAACCAGGACAAGCTCATGTTCTGGAGTAGGAGGTGGTTTTTATGACGCCATGTTTTTTTCCCTCCTTTATGATAATCACAGCTACTTTAGAACAATAGACGCAGCCATCGGGCAACACCATTTCAGTGGGACTTCAGACTTTTTTTTTTTTTTTAACCATGTCACATTATATGCGTTCATGTCCCACTCACAGCTAAGTATGAAGAAGAGCCTTAAAAGGCATGGCACAATAAACATGTGGTTTTAATAAGACCTAATTTTAACTGCAAGGCTTAAATACTGAATGTACTGGTAATATCATTGTTTCGTTCGGCCTGTTAAGAAAGAATGACTGTGATCCTTCCTAATGGTGCATCGACTCCTTCAGGTCACTGGAAAGAGCTCCAGTCTAAATATATCTCCAACAACGGTAGTGCAGGAAAGAACACTCTGCCTTCTGCACGCAATGATGGTCCACACACTAAAAGCATTTCCAAACACGCAATTTAGGTTTGTTGGCTTTTTTTTTTTTTTTTCCTATTTGTGAGATCAACCTAAGTTCCATTTTTAGAATAGCTGTAAACCAATAAGCTAATGCTAAATGTAACAGATGCACAGGTAAAGAACCTTCTGTTGCTTTTAGCTCTTCATTTTGGAGATGGTCACTGGGGTAATAAAAAGGCACATCATCTTACAACCTCATTCATACGCTGCACGGAGAAGGAGGATTCGGAAGTTCTAGGCCTCTATGATATTTGCACATCTCTTCTAGGTACCAGTGAGGAAAACCACGGGGAAAGCAACTTTATAAATATAAAGGCACAAAGAAAACTGAAAAAAGCAAAAAAAAAAAACCAGTTCCGGATGTAACAAAGGAGATGACACATGGTATGAACTTTTCAAAACACTCTACAAATCAAACCGCATTATTCAACAGGATGCAACAAAATCGGGCAAAGAAGCAACAAGACATCACGAGACGCGGGGTCATCTGAAAGAAGCAGTAACGGACACAAGCCACACAGAGGATTTCTTTTCTTACTTGCACAAGTATCTTGAGGGGTTTGAAAGGTCTTTCACCATGAAGCACTCGCCTCCATTCACACAGAAAGTTTTCTCCTTCTCTGCACACTTTACAAGATGGCTTGTCCCGGTTGTAGATGTTGACGTAGCTGGATAGAAGATAAAGAAGGGGAAGGTTTACATGTGTCTTTCCCTCTTCTCAACAGCCTTTAGTCTTACATCCTCTTCAAAGGAAGAGTTCACATAAGGTGCAGCAGACTTCGCTACACGTTCAGGTTTAATAAACAACGGCAAACAAGTGAAGTACTTTCTGGGTGTAACTAAATGGAATAAAATTATCAGAGGGTAAGCACAGTTAGTTACTTTAATTAGAATTGAAATAGGAAAAAGGCTCAACATTTTTTATAACCAGTATTTTATCTTCTAAGGAAGTTGGAAAAGAGAAGACCTACGGCCAGTAAGTAAAATAAAATTTTCAGGAAGGCTCAAATATAATGATATAAAGTCATGTCAGTGCAATTCAAGTTCAATGTCACTTTTGAATGGCAACTACTTATTTATTTTGGAAATTACGTTTTAGGTGTATATTTGACCTTACAGTTTTTAGATCTGTATATATTACATATATAGATATCCATATATATATAGAGAGAGATACAGATCTGTATCTATAGCTGTATCTATATCTATATATATGGCAAAGAAGAACACAAAGTAGCTTATTTGTTCCTAATAAAAAATATGTATCAGTTGAATATATATTAACATAGAGATTAGGAGTCATTCTATTCAAAATTTCTACTCTACTCCAAAGAACACTGTTGAATGTCTGGCTGCCACCATACTTTTGAGGAAATGGAAGGAGTCTAATAATTGTTGCAAAAGTAGAACAGCATGACAAAATTCATCCATTTTGAATTAGGAGTAGACACTGATCTTAATTTTGGTTTACAACTATGATAAGCTTGATATCCACTTGTCAAACCTCAGGTATGTGAGAGCAAATTGAAAATGATGGCTCCACCATCAGGCACACAGATTAAATAAACCCAAAGCACTCGGTCCTGAGACTCAAGGGCACTTCATACCCGAACTTATCCTGGCTTGCTCCCTTGCAAACACTGTAAGCAGTGCTCAGTCTCAACCCAAAACGTCTAACTTACATCATGTTCATGACCGATACTATCAGGATGAGAAGCAAAAACATTATGGTAAGCCCACAAAAACCCCATTGACTTTTTCATGAAAAAGAAAAAATATATACATGTATCTTTAGACAAAAACTATTCCTTGGCTACTGACTCATTCTTAGTAATTTTTAATTCCTGGACTTCCTTCTCAATTTCTATTTCACTATTTGCATGTGAAACTCAGATGCCCTTTTTTACTTTTATTTGACCTCTCGTGTATTTTTTCCCCCCATTTTCTTTGGCTTTTCTTCTTCATTTCCTTCATAAGTCCCCATTTTGTTCTGTTTCATTTTTGACTTCTCCAATTCCAGTTCTGACAGAAATACTCAGGGTGTGATTACTCAGTTTCCGAATTACATAAGGCCTTTCTTGCCTTGCATTCTCCCATTTAGGGCATGTTTTGGGGCCATTCATGACTCTCAGCATGGCTTTCAGGGGTAACAGCAAAGACGAATCAGACTGAGTTGCACTCTGGAGACAGGTCTGGTTTGAATCCCAATAGCTTTGCATCTTTGAGCACATCACTTAGCCACCCAGAATGCAATTCTCCCATTCTGAAAACAATGGTAATGGTACTCCTGCAGGATTTTTGTAGGGATCAGAAATAATCTAGGTAAGGGAACTGGCACAAGCCTGGCACTCAATGAGTAGTAGCAGGTATGATTACTGGGCAAGTAGGGAAGTTACTTAGTCAATCAGAAAAGAATCTTGACGATGGAAATCTGAGGATTTCAAAGCTGCAAGTTACTCTTGAATCCTTATTATGAATAATGAAGAACTGGGTCGATTTTTTATTACTCCAGAGAAAAGTCCTTTCAAAATGCATTTCAAGGTATCCTTCAGAGATATACAAACTAAAGCAAATGAACTTAAGGAGAGGAGGAAGAGAGGTGATTTCACACTGTCTTATCAGTACACTCTCACCTCTTTGTCAGGTAGAGCGCAATGTAATTGGCCTCATTTCGTTTCATAAAATCATGGAGTAGACATTTCTAGCCACCCCACAACATGTCATTTGAATCCAGTATTAGATCTTCATGTGAAAAACTTAGGTGCTGTGTATTAATATTTCCATCCACAGTAATTGCTTTTAAAAGATTATGCGGAGGAAATCTGCCTTAAATGTTAAAGGTTTTGTGCTTAAGACTCTTAAGTGCTGACAGGATACTGTGGGATGAGGAATTGGGCCGGGTTCCCTTGCTGCCCCAGGTGACAGTGCTGAGCGGACCACCTGCTGTGCGCTGTCACCAGTCATTCCCCCAGAAAAACTCTGGTCCTCCAGCAGACCCCAGTGGTCTCTGAATCCCTGACAGGTTGCCAAGGATTACCCTTCACCCAAGCCGAGCAGCAGACATTGCACCAGGCTCTTCCAGAACAAATCCTGAGGCTTTTCCTAAAAACAATGAAACCCCCATTCCCAAGAGCAGACACTCCATACACATTATAAAACTAACAGTAAAGATTCACAGTGATAGAAGCATCATACCTATCATACCTATTTCATACCTATTCCTTGGACTTTAAGATAAGTAAGATTGATAACTGTATGCTGAAACTGGAAATAATCCCCCCAGCCCCCTGGAAGGAAAAATAAAATAAGATGAAAACAGAGAGGAAGGTAAACCATAAGACTCTCTAACTCTAGGGAACAAACTGAGGGTTGTGGGAGGGCGTGGGTGGGGGGATGTGGTAACTGGATGATGGGCCTTAAGGGGGGGGGGGCATGTGATGTGATGAGCACTGAGTATTATACGCAACTGATGAATCACTAAAGTCTACCTCTGAAACTCATAGTACAGTGTATGTTAACCAAATTGAATTTAAATAAAAAATTAAAAAGAAAGGAAATAATCCTTCCTTTTTTTGGTTTTTAAAAATATTTCCCCCTGAAACGATTATCCTTTTCATGCTATCCTGCAGCACCAAGTTATGACCCATTCATTTGAAAAATTCTTAGATCATCACCTAAGGCTAGCAAGGGGATATCTGATGATTAAATGATTCTTGGAGGAAATTCAGTAGCAACTATCTTAAACGATCATAGACTATTGTGCTTATTAGCACTTCTATCCTTGAGCCGCAGCAAGAACAAAAATGATTGTGGAATTGGAAAGCAGTAATGAACTCCCAGGTGATGTTAAGTGTCAGCTGACTGGGTACAGCTGTTCTGAACCAACAGCCAAACGCAGGAATAAGTTGTAATTGTCAGAAGAATCTGGGATGGAGATGCTGATACATAAACCCTTCAGATTTTTGCCAGGTTTCCTTTTATTCTCCTTATTTCAATGCAGTGCATAGTCGATCTTAAGCAGATCTATAAATTTTGCAATGAAACCCTTCCTCCTTGGCTTACACATGCTGTATTGCTAAGTCAGTTTCCATTTAGGACTTCTGCCAGAAATTAATGAAAACAGAGCAGGTTCTTAGACCTAGCTATGGAAATGACATTCTTTCTGGGGGAGCTGGGAGGACTCTATCAGAGGTGGAGCTAAAGGTTGCGCAGGTAGAATGTGTTTCGATATATAAAAGATGACCCTCACAGTTGTCCCTGGAAGTAGGTGAAGTAGATCCCACTCCTTTGGTACTCAATAAACCCAGCCTCTCACCACTTTGTGACTAGTCTGTCACCTTCTCATAAGGTGCTAAATGAACAGCAATTAGGAATACTGCAAAATATGAACCCACTATCTTTATGCTTGCCATTTATTCGTATACTTTGTCCCAAACACACTTTCCCTGAGATGTGAGCAACTACCATATTACAAGGAAGAATGTATAAATAAAGCAGTAACTTGTTACCAGACAATGAAACACTCTGGAGCGTTTCACTCTTGACCTGGTCTCTCCGGCACATAGGTCAGGACTAATGAACATGCCTGGAGAGGCTGGACAGTTCTTTGACTTAGCCAACGATTTGGAGACCAACATCACCATTCACAGACTCCCCAAATCCTGCCCCACACGGTCGGGCTCCCTTCTTTCTAGCCTGCCTTCCTTCTTTCCTCCCTCTCTTCCATTCTTCCTTCTTTCCATCATTCCTTCCTTCCTCCCTTCTACAATTCTTTAATGATTGCCTATTACGTGCAAGACATGAAGATAACAACTAGAGTTACAGGGGTTAAAAACTGTAAGACTGTGAACAATTCTTCCTAAAAGGAGACCTTTATAGATAAAATGTAGTGAAATGAGTACTGGAGTTAGCTAAGAAGATTCAGGTCCAAAGCTCAATTTTACCCATTACTCTCATCCAGCTAAACTGCCTCAGTAAATTCTGCTACAAAATGTGCTGTCACAGGGTTGTTGGGAAGTGTGATAAAATATTTTGTCAGCACGCAAATATATGATACTACTACTATTACTAGTGGTATAAATGTGGAACAAAGAAAAGCAAAAAACACGTCTGTTCAGAGTCAGGAATTACAAATAATCAAGCCTCAAATGTTCTTTATATATTATTCTTCTACAAATTATGAAGAGAGATTGTCTAATTTGTTAAATTACAAATGATTACAATGTAATCATTTGCATGATTACAAGGCATGAAGTACATATAAATAGTCTACTCTATTTTAACTGTATTAAAACCTCTTCTTAATAACTAATAACCACTAAATTTGCCTGTATGTTAAATTGAAGAATAATCTGAGTTAAAAGAACAGAGTCTTAAATGTGTGATTATTTTCAACTTCCAAGATGCATGCAATTCTTTAATATTTCTGACCAAAGTTCCAAGTTACTGACTCAAGTGTAGTTGTAATATTGTTATTTTAACAGTTTCAAACTATAAAATACAGAAAAATTGTGCAATGTTCATACTGTATAGGACATAGTATAAGCTGTTTATTACGGAACATTTTGGAAGCCACACATTACTGCACATTTTTACAAATACGCTGTAAAAATCTGAGGAGTAATGAAGCGCTCTCTGTTCATCACTAAATATTTTCCCACAGAATCACACAGTATTTCCTGTAGAATGCCAGGAGCTTTCTGCTCAAGGCTGGCTGAAAAGAAAACAATTCTGGAAAGGATGGCTTACTTTCTTGCTTCCTTTAAGTGGTGTTTTCCTTATCAGCAAAGTAGACAGCACTAACAGAGCAGGGCCATTACACAAATGCAAATTGCCGATAAGAAGCTACTCTATTCTTCTTTGACAATTAGCAGGGATTAGCACAAGTGTATGCTATTTACCCCAAGGAGCAATCATTAGACCCTGTCCTCCCTGAGTGAAGGAGTCCTTCCTAGCAGTTTTTAGGACAATTCTTAACAATTTCCTTGCAGAAAAATTTAACGAATTCTATGCAGTTTTCTCAATGAAACAGACACATTTTAACAATGTATATTCTAATATGAAACTGTCAATCACTACATTACAGGTTTGATTTTCATTTTCTTTTTAAAACATTATCTGTGATATCTTTAATGGCTCTGTGTTTAGAAATCTGCATGCTTTTGTGCTCTTTGAACTCCCAGTTAAAAGGAAAAAAATCTGAAATTATTACTGTAAGGACCTATTTAGCCAGAGCCTTCCATCAGTTAAACAACAACCTTGTTGTTTAACCCTTAAACTGTCCCTGCCCCCACCCCCAGGGGACTTACTTAAAAACAAGTCCCAGAAACCAGCCCCAGGTAACAAAGCCCAAATACAAGGGTGGGTCAGGCCAGGTGGAGACATCCGATCAGTGGGGGGATGCATACGGTCTCCCTAGTTACCAACGAGTATGGGCCCCGCCCTTTGGGAGCCTTTAGGGCGCCAATTCTGACCAAGGTGATAGGCTAATTCAAATATCTACTAGGGTATATTGTAATTCAATTGGTCACCTAGCATGACTGTGCAGCTTTCTCTGTGTGTTACAATTTCACTGGCCACCTGTGTGTGGCCAGGCCCAACCACATGGCCTTTGCCCTTAAAAGCTAATCTGTGAAGCAGAGAGAGGTCGCCCTCTCTCTAAGAGGTGCGGCCCCGAACGTTCGGTCTGATTCTTGATGGTTGGGGCGGAATAAAGCTTTACTTAATGTTTGTATCAGTCTCGCTCCTTTAATCATGTGTGAGCTAGCTAAGTCACATATGTATTGTGAGCTAGCTAAGTCACATATGTATTGTGAGCTAGCTAAGTCACATACGTACTGTGAGCTAGCTAAGTCACATATGTATTGTGAGCTAGCTAAGTCACATATGTACTGTGAGCTTATTTTGTAAGCAAGTGTTAGAAGCCGGGGTCTGATGATCAGTTTTTCTTTTTTCCAGCTTTATTAAGATATGATTGACATAAGACATTATATAAGTGTAAAGCATACAATATAACTTTATATATGTATATAAACATTGTTTATATATATAAACATTGTGTATATATATACACACATATATAAAGGATTACCACAGTAAGGTTAATGAACACCTCCATCACCTCACATAGTTACCATTTTCTGTGCACGATGAGAACATTAAAGTCTACCCTCTTAGCAGCTTTCAAGGATACAATACGGAGTTGTTAACTATAATTGCCATGTTGCATATTAAATCCCCAGAACATCTTCATCTCATAACTGGGACAGTTTTTCTTTAAAAAAAAAAATGTCTCTTATTATATACATTGAAAAATAAATATAAATTCTTTGTAAGGAATAATTTCCCTATGGCCTTATGTAAAGAAAGGGATTGTCATTACTTTTTACCAACCCATACATTTACCTGGAACCTTAGTGCTGCTGGCTACCAAAATAGGCAGCATCCTTGCCCTCAGGTCTGCAAGCCTCTACTGGCACCCTGTTATTAGTATAAGGGACTGAGGATTTCCCAGGAATTCCTCAGGAATATTATAATATTCCCAGGAATATTATACACGGAATAGTATAGTGAGCCCAAACGTGTTCGAAGATTAAAGGGCCCAGTGGTTGCGATGGTTTCCCATCAGCCCTCTGCAGAGCGCCACTTTGTCACTCTGCTGCTACATACCAGGTGCAGTCCTATCCCCACGAGTCTCATGTGGAAACTACCACATCCTCCAGGTACCAATTCATAATGCTTCACGGGGTGTCAAAGTCTTCCCCTGGTTCTGTCATTGCCCTGCCATGCACTATAATGAATGCTTTGATGGCACATCCAGACCCAAACTGATTTTTAGTAAGAAAGGGGAAAATGTTTCCCTTCTATTTAGGTTTTACTCTCTCAGATGGATCCTGAAACCCTATCGTGTAGTCCGATATTTTAAAAGGATATTAGTAAAGCAGGTTTATCTTTCTCTGCTTTGTCCATTCAGACTCCCCACACCCCGTGGCACTTAGGTGTACATTCCTCAGCTGGAGGGTAGCTCTAGATGACAGACGCCACACTGTCCTCAGGCTTCCCTGCCTCCTCTGTTGGGTGAGTCTGTCTTCATGGGTCAAACTCTTGTTGCCAGGCAACTTTTGCCTTCAGAATGAGAAATCTCCCAAGGGGACCCTCAATCCATATGCAAACAGGCTTCTGGCAGCTGCTCCCACCAATTCAGTGGACAGGCCCAGGCATGTTGGGCTGAGAGCTAAACAGAGATCTCCATTACATTAATTGAAAGGATCACAGGTTCCTCTTTCTACTCTTTCTTCTAAATTTTTTTTCTTTTATGATATATTAGATACGTAAGAAACCCTCCCCCAACCAAAATAGTCCTTTGCCATTCATCTTGGGTAAGACTAGTACAGAGAAGGGTCTTGAGTGAACTAAATGACTTCCTACTGTAGAGCTCTGTGATCATCCCTGTTGACGGTTATGCCTAGAGTAGCAGCCCTGAACAATATTTATTAAGGATTTCCCATGTTTCAGGTGCTGTGCTATGCATTAGGGCTTTAAGGTGAGTTCCACACAATCCCTAATATCTAGGAGCTCACACCTAGTTGGAGGTTAGCCATAAATGTGAAGTCTAAATGATGTAGCCCATGATAAAGTTGATAATTTAAAAACCAAAGCAAAAGCAGTGATCCAGTCTTTCTAGAAGAAGTTGCACCAATTTGTAGAGAAACAAAGTCAAGCTGTCTCTCGAGGCTTGGAATTTTCATTCATGGTAGCCAGACTTACTCTATTATCTATAGTACTGACTGCAGTTGGATAGTCCTATAATCTGCTTTCCATTGCTGTATTCACATTGAGACCAGATCCCTTTGTTTTCAAAATAAGCACGAATATCAGGTGACTGGAGTCATCCAACAGCACTGATTCTGCAAACCCCAATGTTCCATAGAAGAAAGTCACACTGTGGCATTCTGACCTGCTGACTGGCCAGCCCAGTCCTCCCTGACATGGAAGGTTTGCCACTGTCTGGGAAGACTGAGTTGAACTAGTTGAATTAATTAAAATAATTTATTTCCTGGAAAGCCAATGGGGCAGATCCCAACATGGTTCCTCAAATGTGACGTTAAATATCACTTGTAGTATTTTTAGCAATTCCAGAAGTGAGAGAGTCACATTTATTTCTCTATGAACTATCTGAATGCCAAAGGGGTAACACTTTTTCCATGGAAGACGGCAAGATGAAGAAAAGCAGCAGGAGAGGTTCCAAAACCATCCTAGACACCTTCAAACAAGCGACAAGGTGCTGGGCACAGGATGGCCAAAAACAGTGGAAGGATGCTCCCAATGGATGGGGTGGGGTGAGTGGTAAGTGAGTGAATGGATGTAGATATTGGGGACAGTGTCAGCTTCACACCTCATGTATTTGAATGTTGCTTTTATAATGATAAAGAGCTTGAAAATGGACAGGCTGGCTTCAGTTGGAATTGCCTCTCTGTCATGGTAAACTCAGAAATGTGATCTATTGCTGTGGAGAGACACTGTCTTCACAGAAAGAGGGTGATCTTCTTAAGTGGCTTTCCAGTACGAACCTAGGAGGTAGGCATCTCTATAAGAGGCCCAGAAAGGGGGAAGTGGGTAAGAACTGGAGCTTTGTCATGGGGCAAATCTTGGTTGATTTCCAACTCCAACTTTGCAGGCTGTATGACATTAGGCAAGATTCTTCACATAGCGGAGCCTTGGTTTTCCCATCTATAGCACAAGAATGGTAACGCCTGCCTCATAGAGTTGCTGGGAAAATTAAGTGAGGATACCCACGCAGTTGGTAGCACAGCATAGCTCTGGGAGCCCCCCCACTCCCATCAGGGTCTGACCATGCCAATGAAAAGTGCTGGCCTTATCTCAGCCCTTGCCTCTTGGACTTCTGTAAGCGAGTGAAGAATGTTTCATCAAACTTCTCAGAACAGAATGTTGGCAACTGTTCCAAAGCCCAAGCTCAGTGACATCCTTGGATCCTTTCCCACCTCACATCCCACATCCATTTAGCCATTAAGTCTCTTTTCCCCCACCTCATAAATTCCCCCGGACTCTGTCTCCTAGTGGCCATCTTCCTGGCCACTAATCCAGATTAGGTTCTGATCGTCGTCCCTCCTTTACAACATTACCTTCCCCTCCTAAATTCTCTTTCTCCACTCCCTTGCCCTGGTGCCCTTGTCTCCAGGATTAATGTTATAAATCCCATTTCTGAACTTGTCAACCTCCTTCTTAATTGCCTCCAGTGCTGACATAATGATCTTATCCCCAAATTTAGTCCCCACTAGCCACACCAGTCTTACATTTGAATCTACCTCCGTTTACCTCCATCTACCATTTCCATCGTCCGGACCAATTTGAAAAGACCCTGCCTTTTTTTTTTTCCTTTTTTCATTTCTCTGGGCATTTTCTCAAGAAAATTAAATTGTAATAATCTTTACCCAATTCTCTGGTGGGTGAGCTACACCTCTTCCAAAACCCAGCTGAATTAGAGCCATCAGGGAGGAGTTACCTTTTCTGTGCTCTCATAGTACTTGGTGATGCCATCACAGCATCTTTAAATTCCCATCAAAACTATTACTGAGCAGTTTCCCTGTGCCAGATGATAATTTGGAGGTATCCCTGATGATATCCTACTATCCTTTTAAGATTATTCAACTCTCAGTAGTCAATAAGCTAAGCTCTATGAGTAGTGATACACCAGAGTTCCCAAAGTACCGATGTGGCAGAGTTGGCAGTGAGCGTGTGACACAAGATCCCAAGTCCTGTGTTCTTGTCACTCAAACAACCTCCTTGACCCGTCACATTGCAGCTGCCTCTGTGTTAATCTCTAGAACTAGGGTGTGCTTTCTTGGAAGGATTAGATGTGTTCAAAGGAGGTGTGTTTTATTCTTTGCATCACCCGCTCTTAGCCCAGTGTCATTCATATTGCATATACTCATTCGTTGAATGAAAGAATGAGCTTTGGTACATGAATGAGGTTGGAGTCTGGCTCCTTTGAGGATTGATTCTGGAAGGGTTGCAGGATGGTGCTGGAGACTGATTTTCAAGCATTTAGTGGGTAAGCAGTGTAGCCATGGCAGGGGACTGGAGGAAGAACAGAAAGTGACTCCTCTCTAACCTTGAGGGGGGGAAATGGTTGTACCA